CGTGTAGGGCCGGGGGTCAGGATTTCCAGGAAAGCGGAGACCTCGTGGTGCAGGACTGTCAGGACGAGGCGGCAGAGGCAGATCAAAATTGAAAAGTGGAATCGGGGCAGTTGTGTTGCCCGGGGTAAGGCCCGCTCACTTTATATTTGCTACAGCCCTTAATGTGTCGGCCGACGATGATCAGCTCATTTGTACCAAATTACTTAGATTCTGAGAGTCACAAACAGGCTAAAATTTTTATCTCCATTTGCATTTCTTTTTAAACCTCTGGTGAGGTTTTCTTTTATATTTTCTACTTTCTCATCCCTTTTTTCTTACCTTCCTCTTTGACTCTGATCTTTCTTCTCCAAAATCCAATATGCAGTATATTTGCTCTTCTATTAAACAAAACTCCTGTTATATTCTTGAGTTTATTTGAAGAATTTAATTATGTTGGTGTTTTAAATTTTTGATTGTAGTTGCTCTCAGTGTTGTAATATGGTTTACAGAAAAAATTAGAAATGTTGTAGATTAGTATGGAGTCTAAAAATGTTGAAGATTTTATGACTGTCTTTGACATATTTGAATTTAAGATTGATAACTATGGTCATTGGCACATTATGAGGCTTTGTTCAAATGTGTATTGAAAAAACTGCATTTGGCAATTAACAGCACATATTTCCTGCAGTAACTTTACTATTTTACCGATACCCTGTTTTTCAGATTCTAATTGTCATGTTAAGTTCAGGATACAGGTGGGATTGTTCAATTTGCTACTGTTTTTCAGATTCTAATTGTCATTTTAAGTCCAGGATACAGGTGGGATTGTTCAGTTTGCTGCTAAAGGAGTAAGGAAACTTGGATTCTGGTGTTGTTTTTTTTTTAAAGCAAGTCCCTCCCTCCCTCCCTCCCCACTCCCCGAATTAATAGGCTTATTGAGGTAAAATTGATATAAAATAAGGTACAGATATTTGAAGTGTACAGTCTCATAGGTTTTGATCATAGGTTTTAACACATGTGTACACCCTTGAAAACGACACTACAGTTAAGAACATATTTGGCCCTCAGAGTTTCTTTGTGCCTCTCTGAAATCCCTTTGCCTTCCTTCCTGCCTTACCCCCAGGCAATGACTGATCTGATTTCCATTTCTGTCGATTAGTTTGCATTTTCTGGAGTCTGTGTACATGGAATCATGCTGAATATACTCTTTTTGATATGATTTATTTCACTCAGCATAATTATTTTGATATTAATTCATGCTCTTGTATGTGTTAACAGTTCATTTTTGTTGTTGAAGAGCATTCCATAGTATGGATGTGCCACAGTTTGTATATCTGTTCACCTATTGAAGGACATTATGTTTGCTTCCATTTTTTGGCTATTAGAAATAAAACTGCTCCAAACGTTTATATATAAGTTCACCTGTGGATATGTTTTCTTTTCTCATGGGTAAACATATAGAAATGGAATGGCTGGATGTATGGTAGGTATATGCTTAGCTTTTTTAAGAAAAGGTTGGTTTTCAAGTTGGGTGTGACATTTTATATTTGCAAGAATATGTAAGGTTCCATTTCCTCCACATACTCACCCACATTTGGTATGGCCAGTCTTCTTAATTTTAGCCGTTGTAACAGGTATGTTAAGAGTACCTGACTTGCATTTCTCTAATAACTTGTGATATTGATCAGCTTTTTTAGGTGCTTATTTGCTATCTGTATATCTTCTTTGATAAAGTCACTCTTCAGATCTTTAATACATTTTCCAAAATCGAGTATTTTTTTAAAAATTTATTTGTTTTTATTTTTGGCTGTGTTGGGTCTTTGTTGCTGCGCATGGGCTTTCTCTAGTTGCGGCGAGCGGGGCTACTCTTCCTTGCGGTACAGAGGCTTCTCATTGCAGTGGCTTCTCTTGTTGCGTAGCACGGGCTCCAGGCATCCGGGCTTCAGTAGTTGTGGCTCGCGGGCTCTAGAGCACAGGCTCAGTAGTTGTGGCGCACAGGCTTAGTTGCTTCATCATATATATGATTTGCAAATACTTTCTTGCATTTTGGGGTTTGTCTTTGCATTTTGTTAACTGTGTCTTTCACAGAGCAGTTGATTTAATTTTGATCGAGTCCAGTTTATTAATTTTTTTCTTCTTCTGTGGATTGTGCTTTTTGGTGCTGAGAAATACTTGTGTCACCCAAGGTCACAAAGATATTCTGTGTTTTCTTCTAGAAAGGTATTGCATTTAGATCTATAATCCGATTTGAGTTTTTTAAATGTATGGTATGAATAAGGATGGAAGTTCATTTTTTTACATACTGAGTAGCCGGTTGTTTTAGCACTGTTTCTCTGAATTGCCTTTCATCATTCTTGAAAATTAGTTGTCATATATGTGGATCTGTTTTTGGAATCTCATGCTATATGATTGCTCCATTTCTTTAGGCCAATACTCCACTATTTTGATTACTTCTACTTTACAACTACTCTTGAAATCAAACACTGCTAGTGTTCTGATTTTCTACTTTTCAAAGTTGTTTTGACTATTGTAAATCCTTTGTACTTCTATATGAATTTTAGTATTAGCTTGTCAGTATCTACAGATAAGCCTGCTAGGATCTTGATTGCGTTTGCATTCAAACTATAGATTAATTTGGGGAAGACTGATTGACATTTTAACCATATTGAGTTTTTGAACCCATCAGCACCTGTATCTCTCCATTTCTTTAGGTCTTCTTTAATTTCTTTCAGCGATGTTCTCTAGTTTTCAACAGACAGGTTGAACAGATACTGTTAATCAGATTTATCTCCATCTTCCATATTTTTTATGCTATTGTTAATGGTAGTGTTGTCTTAATTTCAAATTGTGTTTGTCAATTGCTAGTATCCAGAAATACTACTCATTTTTGTGTATCTGTTATTCTAATTGCTTATTTGTAGAATCCATTGGGTTTTCTACATAAACGATCATGTTGTCTGCAGATAGAGTTTTATGTGTTTCTTTTTAATCTGGAGTCCTTTCGTGTCTCTTCTTTATTGCATTTGCTGTAACCTTCAGTATAGTGTCGAACAGAAGTGAAGAGCTCAGATAACCTTGTTTTTGACCTTGAGGAGAAAGCATATAGTTTTTCATAATTAAGTGTGGTGTTAGCCTTAGTTTTGTTTTAATAGACATCCTAAATCAGTGTGAGGAATTTCCTTTCTATTAATAGTCTACTGAGATTTTTTTTTTTAAATTAGGAGTAGATGTCAGAAGTAGATTCTGTCAAATGTGCTTTTTTTTTGCATTTGTAGAGATGATCATGTAGCTTGTTTGTTGATACGTGAGTTACATCTTTATATGTGTGTGCTAAAGCAATCTTGCATTCCTGGGTTAAACTCTCCTTGGTCGTGATGTTGGATTCAGTTTGCTAAAAACTTTAGACTTTTTACATCTATGTTCATGAGGGATATTGGTCTGTAGTCTTATTTTCTTATCATGTCTTTAGTTTTCATATCAGCATAATTCTGGCTTCATAGAATGATTGGGAAATATAGTTTGCTCTTCAATTTTCTAGAAAAATTGTGTAGTGTTGGGAATTTCTTTCTTATATTATTTATAGATAGAATCATTAGTGGAGCCATTTTGGCCAGGAGTTTTCTTTTGGAAGATTTTCAACTACAAATTCAATGTCTTTCATAGGTATAGGGCTATTTAGGTTATCTGTTTTTTCTTGCATGAATTTGTCTTTTAAGGTATTTGTTTCATGTAGATTGACAAGTCTATTCTTCTAGAATGGATAATAGTGTTCCTTTACTGTCCTTTTGAATTGGTAGTGATGTTCCTCATTCCTGTTGTTGGTAATTTGTGTCTTTTCTCCATTTTCCTGATCAGTCTTCCTTGAGCTTTATCAATTTTTTTTTTTTTTTTGCGGTACGCGGGCCTCTCACTGCTGTGGCCTCTCCCGTTGCGGAGCACAGGCTCCGGACGCGCAGGCTCAGCGGCCATGGCTCACGGGCCCAGCCGCTCCGCGGCACGTGGGATCTTCCCGGACCGGGGCACAAACCCGTGTCCTCTGCATCAGCAGGCGGACTCTCAACCTCTGCGCCACCAGGGAAGCCCGAGGTTTATCAATTTTATTGACCTTTTTTGAGCCGGCCTTTGCTTTCATTCATTTTTCTGTATTTTTTCCTACTTTCTATTCCATTGATTTCCACTCTGATCTTTATCATTTCCTTTTCTCTCACTTTCAGTTTAATTTGCTCTTCTTTTTTTTTGCTTTTCTTTTTTGTGTCCCTGCTTGGAAATGCCCAACTTGTAAGGTTTAGGTTAGAGCTTTCTCTTTTCTTTGGCTTATATCTGTGGTTCAGGAAAATAAAACTTTTGTAACCTTCAGAACAGATCAGACTGATATCTGTGCAGGGAACAATAGTGCATACTTTGTCAAAGATTGCCTTTGAGGTAGATTTTATTTTTCTAACAGTTTCAAGATCATGAAGTAAAGTATGAAATGAAAACAATGTGTCACTAAGCTAGATGATAGAGTTTTCTTTCTTACATGTACAAATTGCTATTTTAAAAAAATCTTGATTTTTTAGCACTTTCTTGTCCCCCTGCTTGATTTAGGGGATACTGCAGCTTTCTACTACAGACTTTGTTTCTGGTTGATATGGGGAGTACTGTGTTCCATCCATGTTTTTCAGTTTAACAGAAACATTCTCTGGGTAAATTTTCCCTTGAAAATAAGAATAACACTTCTACAATTTGTGAGCTACTTACTACGTGTTACCCAGTTGTAAGACCTGTTTTGTGTTCCCACGTTGGAGATGGGGAGGTAGAAATGGATACTTATTTCAATATATTGAATACTTTTGTTACCTATATTCTAGCTGTTTCAGTTATGTATTTTAATGATGTTCTCAATGTATCATTAGTCCTGTGTTTGAATTACTGATTACTCCATCCACTCTTGGTAGGCACTTAATTTCTGATGGAATGATTATTCTCCTTTTATGAATCATCTTGTTTGACTAAAAGGTAATTTTGGGATATACATATAACACATGGATACATTTCCTCAGTTTAAAAAATTAATATTCTTTAGATAGATGGAAGTTTTGTCTACTAGTTGAGTCCTGATTTTCTCCCTTTCACCAGTTTTGGGCATTTACATTTTAGGTTGATCCATATGAAATTGCCAACATTCAACCCCCTTTGACCTTTGAACAGCAATTTCTTATGCTTCAGCGTATGATATATGGCCATAAGGCAGACACGTAATTGTTTTGTGTGTTTTTATACCATAGTGCCCTAGCTCATGTATTACTCTGCAGCTTATTTTTCACCTCAGCAGTGTAGCATGTGATTTTCTTCATGGAAATCCGTACAGATTTCTGCCTTGCTGTTTTTTAAATGCTGCATAATTTTTCCTAGTTTGGATTTTTCCTAGTTTTAGTCATTCCCTAGTGCTGACCAGTTAGGTTGCTTACACTTTTCCCATGTTGTCTTTAGGTCTTTGTGACTATAAATTGCTTTTATTGATTACGGTCGTAAAACCATAGAACTGTTCATTAAAACTGCATTTAAAGTCTTTTGCATTGAAAAATTTTATTACTGTAATATACTCCTTCTATTTATTGATGGTCTTCTTTCAGTTATTCCTCAAGAACAGTAATTCTATTACTTTTTATTTTGACCCTAACCTATTGTGTTTCAGCTCAGTTCTTCCAAGCTATGTTGTAAGCTTTTAAAGCAAAGAGAGTTTATGGTTCTGGCATTCGCTTCCCCATTCTCTCTTTTAGCATCTAATTCAGAGCTTTTTTCATGATAAGCACTCTGGAAATAATTATTAATAAGCCAATGTGTACTTAGTTGATTTGGTCAGATTTAACCAAGTCCAGAATTGAACGGCTATGGTTGATAATCCTTTGGCTAAGACTGAAATTATGATAAGTTATTCAAAATAATTATATTCTAAAACACTGCTGCCCCCAAAGAAATATGTGAACCATATATGCAATTTAAAACTTCCTAGGGAATTCCCTGATGGTCCAGTGGTTAGGACTCCGTGCTCTCACTACCAAGGGCCCGGGTTTGATTCCTGGTTGGGGAACTAACAGCCTGCAGGCCATGTGGCACAGCCAAAAAATAAGCAAATTAAAACAAACAAAAAAACTTCCTAGTAGCTACATTAAAAAAAGAGAGAGGGATAGGTGAAATTTAATTTTCATATATACCTTTTGACCCAGTATATCCAAAATAGTATCATTTCAACATGTAATTTATAAAATACACAGAATTATTTGACCTATATTTACGTTCTTTTTTGTTTGATGCTAGGTCTTTAAAATCTGGTGTGTATTTTATACTTATAGCTTTATACATCTCATTTTGCCGTACCCCCATTGCAAATTTTAAGAGTCACTAAAATGGAATGATATATGTGTGTGTGTGTGTGTGTGTGTACACCCATATATAAGTATACACACATACAATTTTTTTGTTTGTTTCTTGATTAGAATTTCTGGTTAATCAGTCTTACTAAAGATATATTTATGTTTTCTCACTTCCTGATCTATGGGGCTTGTAACTCTGAAGAGACAAGTGAATTTTAAAAATGCCATAATTCATACTTTTATAGTAGTATCTTGGTAATAATAATCTAATTTGGAATTGTTAGTATAGTCTCTGGCAAAAAAGTTGTATTTTAAACGTGAATCTTTTTAAGCTCTTCAGTCAGGTATAATACAGGTGAAAAATATAACTTCACATTTTGTGTGTTTTGCTTTTCATAGGTGTCTGCTGCAGATATTTCATCAAATAAGGATGAAGAAGAAAACTCTATGCACAATACAGTTGTGTTGTTTTCTAGCAGTGACAAGTTCACTTTGCATCAGGTTTGAACTAAATTATTTGTCTTCCACTTTAAAAAATAATTTATTAATTAATGGCTGAGCTGGGTCTTTGTTGCTGGGTGTGGGCTTTCTCTAGTTGCGGCGAGCGAGGGCTACTCTTCCATGTGGTACACGGGCTTCTCATTGCGGTGGCTTCTCTTGTTGTGGAGCACGGGCTCCAGGCATGCGGGCTTCAGTAGTTGTGGCTCGTGGGCTCTAGATCGCAGGCTGAGTAGTTGTGGCGCACAGTCTTAGTTGCTCCGCGGCATGTGGGATCTTCCCAGACCAGGGCTCGAACCTTTGTCCCCTGCATTTGCAGGAGGATTCTTAACCACTGTGCCACCAGGGAAGCCCTGTCTTCCACTTTTGAACTCCTCCTTGCCCATTTCTACTTTATCCCATATGTACTGCAGTCATTTATTATTTAGCTCTAGAGCTATACCAACTAAGAAGGTGCTTTATAAAAATTATAAAATTAGTGTATTGGTATAGTCTTAGTTTGGTCTGGAATTTAAAATACGTTAATGTGTTCTTAATTTCAGGATATGTGTGTAGTTTGTGGCAGTTTTGGCCAAGGAGCAGAGGGAAGATTACTTGCCTGTTCTCAGTGTGGTCAGTGTTACCATCCATACTGTGTCAGTATTAAGGTGAGTACACGTAGATTTAATTATTAATGTAAATATGCTTCACGTTAACAAAAATGTATTGATATTTGGTTTGATTAGTATCATGCTGCTTCCAGTTCTTATAATTAATCAATTATTGTTTGTTAGGATTATTATACATATGTGACAATATTTAAGTACTTTAAATATTAAAGTACACCCTCCACTTCACCCCCCCACCCCCCTGCTCCTTCACTGCCCTTTTGGAATCTCAGTTGTGTGCGAAATTGTGTAATATTGTCCTCAGATCACTAACACCTTGTTGGGTTTTCTTCCCCAATTGTTTTTCTTTCTGTGCTTTAATTTGTATAGTTTCTATTACGTTCCCAGAATGCACTATTATTATGCAGTATCCAGTCTATTTTTAAGGCTATCCAGTGGGGTTTTTTTTTTTTTTTCCGTCTTCTGTATGCGGGCCTCTCACTGTTGTGGCCTCTCCCGTTGCGGAGCACAGGCTCCGGACGCGCAGGCTCAGCGGCCATGGCTCATGGGCCCAGCTGCTCCGCGGCATGTGGGATCTTCCTGGACCGGGGCACGAACCTGTGTCCCCTGCATCGGCAGGCAGACTTCAACCACTGTGCCACCAGGGAAGCCCTCATCCAGTGGATTTTTTACCCAGACAATTCGATTTTTTAATCTCAGTTCCATTCTATAGCTTATACTTACCTTGTGGTTTTAAATTTTTTCTTCATTATGCTTTTTGTTTCAAGTCCTTGAAAAGTTTATAATTGTCTGCTACTTCTATCATCTCTGACATTTCTCCTTGTATTAACTAATTTTTCATTTTGTCAATTGTTTTACAGCTTTCTTTTTAACATCTAGTAATTTTTGATTGAATGTGGACATTGTGCATTGTGATAGTATATTGTTGAGAGTCTAGATTTTGTTCCTTTAAAATGCAGAGAGATTTTGTTGTGGCAGGCAGTTATTTGTGGATAAGTTTGAACCTTTTGACACTTCTTTGTGTCAGGCTTTGAGGTGAGTCCACAGAGCCTTCTCTCTGAGGTGGCTATTCTCAAACTTTTTGGTCTTAGAACCCCTAACACTCTTAAAAAAGTATTGAGGACCCCGAGGAGATTATAAAAAACCCCAAGGAGATTTTGTCTATGAAGATAATAATGATTGAATATTTACTGTTTTAGAAATTACAACTGAGAATATTGTAAAACACAAAAATATGCAGACACACCTTGTATAATGCCAATGTAATGATGTTTTATACATCATGTAGCGTCTGCAAAACATCACAGAGTGAATTAAGGTGAATAGTTTAGCTCACACTTTCCTAACTGCTGTTCTAGCACCAGTTTAATACTTGAGGCATGGCCTTTATGAGGTCTCTGCTGAATTCTCCCTAAACCTTCCCCTTTCTGATCCCTACAGGCCCCTCTTCACCAGTGTCTCTTCAGTCTGACTGGTTGAGATTCAGTTGTCTTCCAGCACTGTGTGCACTCTGATATTTATTTCAGATTCCCAGGAGCTCTTCTTTACCCTGGTTTTGGGTCCTTGTTTGACCTCCTGGATGTGCAGCTTGGTGTTCAGTCGAAGACTAAAGGGAAATATTGTGTCGATTCCTGGAGTTCTTTCTCTTTTTTTTTTGGAGTTCTTTCTTACTGCTCCCTTCTTTCCAGTGCTCTGTCCTGCACATTCCAACTGCCTCAGCCCTCTGAACTCCATCAGTGTGTCCTAAACTCAGTGAGCCCGTTGTACTTGCCTGGGCTCGTCCTTCCCTGGGGATCATTCTGGAAAAATGGCTACAGGCAGAATATTACAGGACTCTCCTTGCTTGTTTCCCTCCTCTCAGAAAAAGTCTTACACTGCCTTTCGTCCGGTATCTGAAAACAAGTGTTTCATAAATTTTGCCCAGTTTTCTAGTGTTTTATGATGGGAGACAGGTCTTGTTTCAGTTATTCCAACATAGTTGAAGCAAATATCCGCTAGACTTTAAAACACATCTCTCACACCTTAGACATGATACATGGATGGGGACCCTGGATAATATCTTGGTTCAAAGAGCTCTTAAAAATGAAGATAAAACCAGTTCAGTATGAGGCAAAAAAGAGTGGATAGTAGAGCGCTGAAATCTGCAGTAAGAGGGAATTTCAAAGGGGGCGGGTATTGTTCAAATGTTGAAATACTGCAGAGAGTTCAAATAATAAACACTAGTACGTCATCTAGATTTGGGAGTAAGGTCTTGACTGACTGACTTGAGCAGTTTCACTGGTGGTGGGCAGAGTGACCAGACTGTAGTGTGTTGAAGAGTCACTTTAAACTGAGGGACTTGAGAATTCGGCTGTAAAGGACCACAGACTGTGAAACAGGAAAACTTAGTAGGAATGAAGATATATCATTAAAAAAATTCTGCTACTTTATCTTCATCTTACCTTTCTTCTAAGCCAGGGATTGGTAAACGGCCACACAGGCCAAATCTTGCCCACTGCCTATTTTTGTAAGTGAAGTTTTAATGGAACACAGCCATGCTCTTTTGTTTACACGTGTCTGTAGTGAGCTTCACACTACAGTGGCACAATTATGTAGTTTAACATACTGCCTGGCCAGCGAAGTCTAGAATATTTATTATCCTGTCCTTTACAGAAAAAGTTTGCTGGCTACTGCTCTATGCTCCCCTGCTCTTCCTACCCTAGGCTCTTTCTTCCATTTAGGTAAATAATATAACCTGATAATCTAAGACTAATTTAAACATATCAGTAGGCTAATCAAAGTAATAAATATACACGCTTAAGAAGCAGATGTCTTTACGAGCCTTACGGTAACTGACCGACCCGTCTTCCTCTACCTTCACAGCTGAGTCCTCTTCCCCCACAACACAACCCTTTTGGGTTCGTTCAGGTCCTTCTTTTTGTAGTTAACTGTACAGCGCTAAATAATATACTCGTGTTACTCCTTTATGTGTGTTAGCTTTTGTTGACTTGCCTCTATAAATAAATAAATAAATAAATAAATAAATGCTGATTGAGCTCTTAAAATACACCTCCTGCCTTCTCCCAGCATCCTCCCAGTATAGTTGTTTTACTATATTTAGTTAATAAACAATGTTGGTTATGACTCCATAAATGTTCGCTGGAGATATAAATAGTGTAGTATGACTTTATTTTGTTTTTCATGGAGGTTAAGAGCAAGAAGAAAATAATGATTCATGATTCTCCATTAGTTTTTATTTGTTTTTACCTACTGTAGAAGCATGATCATATCAGATCATTTCAGCCAGTAACTGTTTTCCTGGGAAAGGCTTACCCCCTTCCACACTCTGCTTTTCCCTGTTCTGAGCTGGGCTGGTAGCTTCTAGGTCTGTTGCTCAGTTCTCATCCTTAATCATCTCTGGGATGACATCCTCTGTTGGGTTCATTGCTTTCTAGATCCCATGTCTTCCTTTTTCTTGGTATACACCCTCACTTTGTTCCTCATATCTCTTAAGTAACTTCATTAGAAAGGGTACTTGGAAGCTGAATTTTGAGTCTTTGTCTGAAAGGCATTCCACTTTAACACTTAATTGCTTGTTTAGTTAGATTAAGGATTGTACCTTGAGAAGTATTTTCCTGTAGAATTGGAAACTGTTACACTATTTTAGCATCCAGAGTTGGAAAGTTTGATGCTACTTTGATAGTTGTTCATTTATTTAACTCTTCTTTTCCTCTCAAGTAGTTTTTTTTTTTTTTTTTTGGTACGCGGGCCTCTCACTGTTGCGGCCTCTCCCGTTGCGGAGCAGTCTCCGGACGCTCAGGCTCAGCGGCCATGGGTCACGGGCCCAGCCGCTCCGCGGCATGTGGGATCCTCCCGGAACGGGGCACAAACCCGTGTCCCCTGCATCGGCAGGCGGACTCTCAACCACTGCGCCACCAGGGAAGCCCTCAAATAGTTTTAAGACGCTAAATAATATACTCGTGTTACTCCTTTATGTGTGTTAGCTTTTGTTGACTTGCCTCTATAAATAAATAAATAAATAAATAAATAAATGCTGATTGAGCTCTTAAAATACACCTCCTGCCTTCTCCCAGCATCCTCCCAGTATAGTTGTTTTACTATATTTAGTTAATAAACAATGTTGGTTATGACTCCATAAATGTTCGCTGGAGATATAAATAGTGTAGTATGACTTTATTTTGTTTTTCATGGAGGTTAAGAGCAAGAAGAAAATAATGATTCATGATTCTCCATTAGTTTTTATTTGTTTTTACCTACTGTAGAAGCATGATCATATCAGATCATTTCAGCCAGTAACTGTTTTCCTGGGAAAGGCTTACCCCCTTCCACACTCTGCTTTTCCCTGTTCTGAGCTGGGCTGGTAGCTTCTAGGTCTGTTGCTCAGTTCTCATCCTTAATCATCTCTGGGATGACATCCTCTGTTGGGTTCATTGCTTTCTAGATCCCATGTCTTCCTTTTTCTTGGTATACACCCTCACTTTGTTCCTCATATCTCTTAAGTAACTTCATTAGAAAGGGTACTTGGAAGCTGAATTTTGAGTCTTTGTCTGAAAGGCATTCCACTTTAACACTTAATTGCTTGTTTAGTTAGATTAAGGATTGTACCTTGAGAAGTATTTTCCTGTAGAATTGGAAACTGTTACACTATTTTAGCATCCAGAGTTGGAAAGTTTGATGCTACTTTGATAGTTGTTCATTTATTTAACTCTTCTTTTCCTCTCAAGTAGTTTTTTTTTTTTTTTTTTGGTACGCGGGCCTCTCACTGTTGCGTCCTCTCCCGTTGCGGAGCAGTCTCCGGACGCTCAGGCTCAGCGGCCATGGGTCACGGGCCCAGCCGCTCCGCGGCATGTGGGATCCTCCCGGAACGGGGCACAAACCCGTGTCCCCTGCATCGGCAGGCGGACTCTCAACCACTGCGCCACCAGGGAAGCCCTCAAATAGTTTTAAGACCTTATTTTTCATGATCTTAATTTTTATTCTGTATCTTGATTGTTTGCTATTTTGTTATAACACAGGTTCTTTGCGGTCCTTTTTAACCTGTAGACTCTAGTCTTTTGAGATCTTTTAGTTTGTTCCAAATTCTTAATATTACATGATGTGGCTGTTTTCTGGAATTTATTAGAAGCATAGAGATTCTCAAATTTTTCCACTTAAGTTAGACCCTTGAGGCAAAGGAGAATAAGCAGAGGACTGAATATGAACTTAAGAAGTCCTAGCTTCTTAGCCTAAAATCCTCCAAGACCATAAAATGGCCTTGGGAACTCACGTTGTACCTTAATTTTATTTGCATTTTTAATATTGATTTTAATATACAAGTCCTTATGCGATGTACACAAGATTCAGGATCATGAATTCATGAAATGTCATAGATTGAAACTTTATCAGTACATTTTCAAGTCCTGTGTTAACAATAATGGGGTCATTTGCTTGTTTTCTTTAAAAACCAGTTACCACATCTATCAAGTGGACATAAAATCCAGAGCACAAGGTAGCTATATAAACTAAAAAAGGCATTAAAATATGGATCACTTTATATTATTCTGTCCAATAGGCAGACTCCTAAAAGTACATGAACGTGGTCACCCTGGAATTGGGCCACTGTTGGTGCTCAGTAAATGTTAGTTGCTTTTGCCTCTTTGCTGCTCCTAGGTATGTAAGCACCATGTTCATTTGGCGCTTGATCAGATATGGCGTATTTGATCATGTTTGCATGAGGGGTAGGTTAACGTATGAATCACATGGCTTGGTTGTTTCTTTTGCAGATCACGAAAGTGGTTCTGAGCAAGGGTTGGAGGTGTCTGGAATGCACTGTGTGTGAGGCCTGTGGGAAGGCGACAGACCCAGGAAGACTCCTACTGTGCGACGATTGTGACATAAGTTATCACACCTACTGCTTGGACCCGCCACTGCAGACAGTTCCCAAAGGAGGCTGGAAGTGCAAATGGTACCCTAGGACTTACGTTTCCCTTGTTAGACTTTTGAAGTTCAGAACTTTCCCACAATACTTTAGTTTTCACATGTTAGCAACAACTGCTTAATTGCGTGATACATGTTTACAATGATCGATACCACTAACCAGAAAATTTTTCAAATGTGCATTAAATACTTTCCCCCTGTTCTGTTCTTGTGTAGCTTCTTGAATTTCAGTAACTAAATAACTGAGTAAATAAAATTGAAACTTGTGGGGTGTTGGGTTTCAGGTGTGTGTGGTGCAGACACTGTGGAGCGACATCTGCAGGTCTGAGATGTGAATGGCAGAACAACTACACACAGTGTGCTCCGTGTGCAAGCCTGTCCTCCTGCCCCGTCTGCTGCCGAAACTATAGAGAAGAAGACCTTATTCTGCAGTGTAGACAATGTGATAGGTATTGTGCTGTTTTTTGCTTCATCTTTTGTAAGCTTTTCTCTCTTAAATATAGCAAAAGGAAATTGAAAAATAACTTTCTTCTATCTTAAAGGTAAGAAGTAAGAGTTTTCCTTTCCAGATTTTTAGTCAGCTAGACGCTTAACAGAAGTTTTCTGTTTCATATTCTCAGTTCTAGGCTAAACATTTTTCACTTGGGGCTTTCTGAGGGTTGAGGTCTTTGATTTCAGTGGTATATTATTGTGCCCTGTTAGCACCGTACATGTAATATTAGTAATCATATTATTTCATCAGTAGTACGGGATTCTCAGGATTCTGCCTACCAATTCTTTGTTCTAAGGCAGGGTAACTTTTATTTCCCAGTGACCGTTCATTATCACTTACACAAGCTCTATCTACTCCACAGTAGGTGCATCACCTGGAGCACATACATGCTGCACCACTCAGTTATGTGAATTCCTTTCTACTTACCCTAACTAGCTTCCGTGCTGTCTCTGAAATACTCAGTATTTTGTCATAAAGCAGTTATCCCATCCTCATATAATGTGCTTTTGCTTCGTTCATAGTACTTGTTCTCATTGCTTTTTTCTTCTTCTCAGCTCTGACAGTTTTTCGGGGTCAATAGGAATGGTTAGAGAGGGGTGACATGGGCTAGGTGGGAGGAGCACATGAGACTTGGGGGTTTTAAGGTTGGAGGCTGTCAGCTCCCGTTGCAGTTTTTAAAAGGAAGCCATCCTCAGTATATTTCTTCTTCTTTTTTTAATGTATGAATATGGTCTTTCTAGATGGATGCATGCAGTTTGTCAAAACTTAAATACTGAAGAGGAAGTGGAAAATGTAGCAGACATTGGTTTTGATTGTAGCATGTGCAGACCCTATATGCCTACATCAAATGGTAAGCAAATGATTTAAATGGTGAGTCTGTGCTCTTGGATTGATACAACTCACTTGTGCCTGCTGTGCTTAATCTGTGAGTGGGCTTAACTCTACTTCTTTTTCTCTTTTTGTGAAACTATTATTTGGACAAGTATTTTATGAAAAATAAGTTACTTTTTATTTTTAATTAACTCTTATTATCCCAATAATATGTTAAAACAATCTACTTACATAAAGGAAGTAAATTAAGAATATATTTTAGCTATAAGATGTAATTTTTGCTTTCAAGAATCATAATCTTGGGGACTTCACTGGTGGTGCAGTCGTTAAGAATCTGCCTGCCAGTGCAGGGGACATAGGTTCAATCCCTGGTCTAGGAAGATCCCACATGCCTCGGAGCAACTAAGCCTGAGCGCCACAACTACTGAGCCTGCGCTCTGGAGCCCGTGAGCCACAGCTACTGAGCCCGCATGCCACAACTACTAAAGCCTGTGAGCCTAGAGCCCGTGTTCTGCAACAAGAGAAGCCACCACAGTGAGAAGCCCGCACACTGCAACGAAGAGTAGCCCCCGCTCGCCGCAACTAGAGAAACGCTGTGCACAGCAACGAAGACCCAACGCAGCCAAAAATAAATAAATATATAAATAAATAAATTTATTTTTATTTTTTTTAGGCGTCCCTTTTTAAAAAAACTTTTTAACATCTTTATTGCAGTATAATTGCTTTACACTGTTGTTTTAGTTTCTGCTGTATAACAAAGTGAATCAGGTATACGTATACATATATCCCCTCCCTCTAGCGTCTCCCTCCCACCCTCCTTATCGCACCCCTCTAGGTGGTCACAAACCACCGAGCTGATCTCCCTGTGCTATGCGGCTGCTATCTGTTTTACATTTGGTAGTGTATATATGTCAGAGCTACTCTCTCACTTCGTCCCCGCTTACCCTTCCCCCTCCCCATATCCTCAAGTCCATTCTCTACGTCTGCATCTTTATTCCATCCTGCCCCTAGGTTATTTAGAACTGTTTTTTTTTTTTTAGATTCCATATATATGTGTTAATATACGGTATTTGTCTTTCTCTTTCTGACTTACTTCACTCTGTATGACAGACTCTAGGTCCATCCACCTCACTACAAATAACTCAATTTCGTTTCTTTTTTGGCTGAGTAATATTCCATTGTATATATATGTGCCACATCTTCTTTATCCATTCATCTGTGGATGGACACTTAGGTTGCTTCCATGTCCTGGCTATTGTAAATAGTGCTGCAGTGAACATTGTGGTACATGACTCTTTTTGAATTATGGTTTTCTCAGGGTATGTGCCCAGTAGCGGGATTGCTGGGTCGTATGGTAGTTCTATTTTTAGTTTTTTAAGGAACCTCCATACTGTTCTCCAGAGTGGCTGTATCAATTTACATTCCCACCTACAGTGCAACAGGGTTCCCTTTTCTCCACACCCTCTCCAGCATTTATTGTTTGTAGATTTTTTGATGGTGCCCATTCTGACTGGTGTGAGGAGATACCTCAGCGTAGTTTTGATTTGCATTTCTCTAATGATTAGTAATGTTGAACATCTTTTCATGTGTTTGTTGGCAATCTGTATGTCTTCTTTGGAGAAATGTCTATTTAGTTCTTCTGCCCATTTTTGGATTTGGTTGTTTGGTTTTTTTGATATTGAGCTATGTGAGCTGCTTGTATATTTTGGAGATTAATCCTTTGTCAGTTGCTTCGTTTGCAAACATTTTCTCCCATTCTGAGGGTTATCTTTTCATCTTGTTTATGGTTTCCTTTGCTGTGCAGACGCTTTTAAGTTTCATTAGGTCCCATTTGTTTGTTTTTATTTCCATTTCTCTAGGAGGTGGGTCAAAAAATCTTGCTGCGATTTATATCATAGAGTGTTCTGCCTCTGTTTTCCTCTAAGAGTTTGATAGTGTCTGGCCTTACATTTTGGTCTTTAATCCATTTTCAGTTTATGCTTGTGTATGGTGTGAGGGAGTGTTCTAATTTCATTCTTTTACACATAGCTGTCCAGTTTTCCTAGCACCACTTATTGAAAAATAAATTAATTAATTTATTTTAAAAAAGACTCATAATCTTGTAGTTATTAGCAATACATAGGAATCCAGTACGTTGGTTCTTTATCTTTACCAGTTTTTCTTCCATGATGTTGTGTATTTCCTCCACCATTTCTCTTTGTTGTTTTGTTGTTTTAAAGGCAGCTTTTAATTCTATTTAATTTAATTCTATTTAGTTTTCAAGCATTTATTTTAGTAAAATGGGTACAGTAGTAGAAACTTTAATCATATGTAAATCTTTAAATACACCTTACCTTTTGTGAAAAAATCACGAGTTTTTGTTTTTGTTTTTGTTTTTTTTCCATTTCAGTGCCTTCCTCAGACTGCTGTGAATCTTCACTTGTAGCACAAATTGTCACAAAAGTGAAAGAGCTAGGTAAAATCTGAAATGCTTTCCTTGACTGTTCTTTACAAAAAGCAAAGAAATGCTTTTATATAACTGAATTGTGACACGTTACATGAATCCTGCCTTACTCATGTGGGTGTTCAGTATAAATTTCCTAATGTTGGTAATCATTTCTGTAATTACATACAAAATGTCTTGTCTTTCCCAGCTTTAGTGAGACAGTATTCCTACAGATCTCACCAAATTGGCAGTGAAAATAACCACTTTTGAAATAACCGTTAACTACATACTTGTTTTGGTTTCATTGATACATTATTGTGTTTAGTTATCAGTTAGACTAGACAATAAGGCCTAGCTAGCAAACAGAGATTCCTTCAGAATTCATTCTCTTACTATTTTTTTCTGTAATAGATCAGCCTAGAATAGTGACTAACATGATATTCTTATTAAACTCTCATTCTTTTGCCTACTTCTATTTGATATCATCTGATACAAAAACATTTGGATTGTACAGAAGTTTTTCTAATGAACAGCAATTTTGTACACTTAAATTTTTGCAGAATTTCTGCTTATTTACTACCTCTCCTTATAAGGGATTATACTGATGCTTTGATTTCCAAGTGGGCTTATGGAATATTTTTGTTTCTCTTCTATAAATTGATCCTCACCTTTTAGTCTGAAAGGATACTCTAGGAAAAGGCTCATAGTCGAGTGACTGAAGCATTGCTTTTAGCTTCCGTGCTTTCTTTTTAAATCCCTGTATTGATACATGAAAATAGAAATGCCAGGAAGACCATTTAAAAAAAACTGACAACCTTTCTCTCTATAATTCAAGGAGGTTTGACCAGCTATGCTTACTTTTAACTGAGTACTGTTAATTATTTGTGCATTTCATAGGCAATTGCTTTATAGAAGTCACATTCCCTTGACATGGTCCTTATGGAACAATAATCAACTTACCAATCAAAAGTAAAATGAAAGTTTTAATTTGTATCCTTGGGATATTGTAATTTTAGATGCACCCAGGACCTACACCCAGGATGGTGTATGTTTGACTGAATCAGGGATGACTCAGTTACAGAGCCTTGCAGCTACTGTTCCAAGAAGGAAGCGGTCAAAGCCAAAGTTGAAGTTGAAGATCATAAACCAGAACAGCGTGGCCGTGCTTCCGACGCCTCCAGACGTCCAGTCAGAGCACTCACGGGACGGCGACATGGACGACGGTCGCGGTAATACTTGCGTATTTTCCATGGAGTGTGTTTGCAAAAGTAAAGAATGTAAAAGAGCTTTTAAAATTATTTGATCTATCTAAGGGTAGATCCTGCTGACTTAGGAGGTAACCCTTTATCTAAGGGTAGATCCTGCTGACTTAGGAGGTAACCCTTGGTGTGACACTGTCCTGCGTCCGTCGTCTCCTGAGACCTTGCCTTTTCAGGTTCTCTTCGTTTCGTGTATCCTAGAACAGACCTGTATTACAGAAATTTCCAGAAGCACCATATCTTTGAAGGTCACAGATCTTTTCAGATCTTTTCGGGGTTTGCCAGATAGCTGCATAAACCTCTTCAGATGCTGTGAACTTGGATTCCACGGTTAAGTTAAAGTAGAACTCCACGCAATCTAGAAATGAAAAACCATCATTAATGTTCAAATATAAGCTTATCTTCACAGATACTCATCATAAACCATCTGTTTATAAACATTTTCTTGATCAGGTTTTTCTGGCTGAATTTTCTTGAGATGAAAAAATAATTTTAGTGACATTAAATTCAACATGAGTTTTACTTTTGCTTATCTCTGAAGAAGATCACCATAGGCTTGTTTGTTTTTCGGGTGGTTATTTCTTTTCAGTTGATTCAAAAATAAAGTAATAGTTGCTTTTGTTCCATCACATCTTATCATTTACCAGTATTTATTGAATGCCTGCTGTGTGCCAGATGTTGGAAGTCATGTCAGTGAGCAAAGCAGATAAAATTCTCTGCTCATGGAACTTACATTTTAATGTTAGGAGAAAAGATCGTTAAAAATACATAACATAATAAGTTAATAAAGATGTGTTTGGCAAGTGCTGTTGAGAGGACTTGGGAGCACAGACAGTGGGCTGAGGGCCCAGATCAACTGGAAGCCATATTTAAGCACCGACTTTAAAGAGTTGAGTGAGCCACTCGATTATCTGAGGGAAGAGACAGCGGGAAAGACCCTGGGTGGGATGTGCCTATAACATTTGCTGAACATTGTGGAGAACAGTGTGTCCAGCACAGTGAGCAAAGGGATAAAGGCCTGTGATGAGATCAGAGTTGTGAGGAGAGGTGGGGTGACTCAGTAGGTCCTGTAGGACCATAAAGGTGATGCTTAAGGCATTTACTGTAAATGGAATGGGAGGTGGTTGGAGGTATCTGATGAGAACAGTGGCGAAATCTTACTTGTATTTTAAAAGGAACACTGCTGTGATGTAAACAGACTTTTAAGCCCAAGAGTTGTAGCAAGCAGTTCAGGCAGGAGCCTCTTGCAGCCGTCCAGGTGAGAGATGATGGTGGCTTAGAATGGGTCTGTGTGTGCTCCTCTTTATCAACTAATCCTCACGTTTCTTTTGCAGTAGTGTGTTTTTGGGTCTGTGTGGTTGGAGAAAAGCTTTCTGACGCTTATGTATAACTCATTTTCAAGTACTATTGAACAGCAGTTCATTTTGAAGTTTGAAGTGATTTGAGGCTTGTGAAGAAGTAGCCTGTGTATCTGGGAGGAATTGACTTGATTTTACCATCAGCCAAAGTACAGTGATGAATTACGGTTTCTCAGGGTATCAGAAAATGCCTGAAGAATGGTTCCATAGTCCCTTAAATCTGAGAAATGCTGCATTTCACAAAATTTGAAAGGTTTCTTGGTAGTACACACTAATTCCCAAAGTATGAAATTATAGAGGGGAGAAACGTTTGTTGATGTTTGTTTAAAAACAAAACGTCAATAGAAAGACCCGAGAAGGTTTTCCCTATGACCACCGTTCTGTAAAACAACACCGTGAGAAATGGTAGGTACTTCCGCAGCTGTACAGTTTCCAAATTGAGGCTGCCAGCAGGGAGATCCCCATAGAAGTAATACTGTCCATCATATTATACACATGATACATACGTAATTTTAGATTCCACAGGGGTCAACAAAGTCCAAATGAACTTGTGATGCTCCTGAAATATTGCAGCAATACTCACCTTTTTGGGGGTTGTTTTTGTTCATTTTTAAACTCTTCTGATAAACGTTTCTTAAGGAAAATAAGTCATAAACAATCACCTTAGCATATCAGAAACAAACTTGTGCAATAAAAGCAGGCTCCTGGGGTCTGGATAGCCTGTTAGTGCAAAAAAAACCCAAATCTAAAGAAAATAAAACTGCCCTCTGTGTCTCAAGAGTGGGAGCGCAGGGGGTGGGGGGGAAAAAAGTGGGAACACAGGGACTTCCCAGGTGGTGCAGTGGTTCAGAATCCACCTGTCAGTTCAGGGGACATGGGTTTTATACCTCCTCCGGGAATATCCCACTTGTGGCGGAGCAAGTAGGCCCGTGCAACACACCTACTGAGCCTGCCCCCTAGAGCCTGTGAGCCACAACTGCTGCGCCTGCATGCCGAAGCTACTGAAGCCCGTGCACCTAGAGCCTTGCTCCACAACAAGAGAAGCCATCGCAACGAGAAGCCCGTGCTGCACAACAAGAGAAGCCGTCACAATGAGAAGCCCACACACCGCAACCAAGAGTAGCCCCCACTCGCTGCAGCTAGAGAAAGCCCGCGCGCAGCAACGAAGACCCAATGCCCACAAAAATAAATAAATTTATTTAAAAAAAAAAAAAGATGAGTGGGAGCACAGTGCTTCCCTCTCAGTTGCTGCCCCCCGAGGACCCTCACAGCACGGTGGGGACATCAGGAGGTGGGGAGTGAGACCGCACCCAGGCTGTGGCAGGCATGGTGTGGGGCAGATTAAGAGGAAGCAGCCGGGTGGGTCGGTTATCACCTCCTGCAATTTGTTAATGGTCATTTCCTCAACACTTTAAATTTTGTTTTTGGGCAAGTAATATATTCACATGTTTTTAAACTGCACAAGAATAAGGGTGTTTCTCTTTTCCCTGTCCTGCCAGTTCGCTTCTCCAGACGCAGCCATTCTTTGTTTCCTTCCAGAGGTGTTTTGTTCATGTACAAGCACATGGATATATATTTTGTGTTCCTTTTGTCTTACTGTTCTTGCTTTTATGTTATTCTTCATTTTTCATGGCCTCATTTTTCATATTCCTTTGTATGGATGTAAGTAACTCAGTTCCCAAACTGATAAGACCTTTAGGGGTTTTGTTTGTTTGTTTTTTCAGTCTTGTATTGTGTGTTTCCTGAGATTTCATGTATTCCTCCTTGTTTCTCTCCCTCACTTTTGGTGGGCATACCTTCTGTTGTTTCTTGAGAGAGAATGCATGGAAGGTAAATTTGAGAGGTTATGTACTTCTGAAAATGTACCCTCCCACCTGACTGACCTTTTCCAGGTTGGAATTCAGTTTTCCCTTCAGCCTTTTGAAGTCATTGATCCAGTGTCTTTTGGTTCCTGGTATATAGGGAACTTGATACTTTTTATATGATCCATGTTCTCTCTGGAAGCTCTTGGGATTTTAGGAAATTCTTTGTCTGCAGTGTTCTGAAATTTGGTGAAGATATGTCTGTTTCAGTCTGTTATGGATGTTTTTCCTTTCTTTTGTCAGGCACTGAGTGGTCCCTTTCGTCTGCCATCTCATACCCCTCAGCGTTAGGAAATGTTCTTGAAACCATTGATTCTCCCCCTCGGTGCCCCCTCTTCTTTTTCTTGACCCTGCTATGCAGATGTGAGACCCACTCAGCCCATCATTCTCCCTGTCTTTTCTCTCCTCCTTTCCAGCTCAGGTCTTTGCATTTTACTCTAAAGTAAATTTTTAATTTTATTTCTCTATCCCTCTACTGATTTTCACTTTTGTTTTGTTTTCAAATATCATGGATTAATTTCCAAGAGCTTTCTTTCCTTCCTTTGCGTGTTCCTTTTCATAGCATCCTGTTCTTGCCTCATGAATGTTTTATCTTACCTGTTGGAGGATTGAAAATTTTTTTCTAATGTTTTCTTTTTCCTGCCTAGTCTTTCAATTCCCAGTTGCATTTTGTGGTCTCAGGTCTCTATCTTTCATGTGATAGATAATCCTTGGTTGTCCGTGTGTGATTAAAAGTGAGGACTAAAAGTGGTGATTGGAAAAATAAATTAATAATTTTTTTAAAAAAATAAGGAATGAGTGATTAAAAATGATGAAAATCTTCGAGTTTGTGGGTGGTATTTGTTGACTAAGCTTTTGTGATCTGTGCTCACTATTTGGAAAATCCCCTAGTGTCAGTACCTTTAGACATTTCTCTTGGACTGGTCAGGTTTCCCAGAAGAATCTTCCTGTCTCCTGCTTGGACAGTAGAGGTTTAGCTGCTGGCTTTCTGGGAGTTTAGTGGGGAAAGGCCCCAGGGGAGAGAGGGTCAGCATTTAACATGCCTGTAGCACTTAATCCTGTTTTCAGTCCATGACCCCAGTGTTGAGTTTGAGTGTCTGAGTCCCAAATCCTGTGAGTGTGAATGGCAGCCTCACAGTGTGTGAGGTTGGGAAGGTCATAGGGATTATGGTTTCTGTAGTTAATATGAATATAAAACTCTCTTTGCTTGAGCTGCCTCCCACCCATTTCCAAAGGTACCTGGCTCTGCCAGTTCTTCAACCTTTTGAGGATTGTGATAAAGTTGGATTTTTTTCTTGGTTCCTTCCACTTTCAACTGAGAATTTGCATTTCCTGAGTCAGTTTTCATCTCTCTTTCTCCTTCCAAAATTGTGGCTTTTCTTCTTTCCTGTTTTTTCTGTCTTTGTTGGTTTATCTTTTAAAAATAGATTGCTTTACTGTACATAGGGTTTTGGGAGAGTGAAATTAGATACATGAATTTAGTCTACCATCTTAAACATAAATTCCCTCTCATATATTTCAGTGGGTTTATTTTAAGGTAAATAATTGCTACTTTGTTACCTTTGGTGTTTGCTAAGTTTCATAAATAAATAGATAAAATTTTCATGGTTTAATCTTAGCTGTAGAAAGCAGTTATCAGATTGTTATAGAATTGACCTTAAACACTGACCTAATATTATTGAAAACAAATACACTACTCATGGTATTACAGAAATATGCATAATACTTAGAATATTGAAGAAAAGTGTTAACAATTTATTGTTAAATGTATTTGATAACTTTTTTCCCCCTAAAGCACAGCGTAAAGCATATACAGCTTGAAAAGTTTTGATTGCCATGATTTTAAAACAGCATTCCTCTCTAGGAACTAGCTTTTGTATGCATTACTTAGTTTCATTGTTTACTTACATTTGGTGAAAAATTTGTTGAACACCTATTACGTACCGTGCTAAGGATGCAGCTGTTAATAAGAGTCTTAGATTAGGAGAATATAGTCTAGCAAGGAAACAGACATTAAAAGAACCAATTAAAATGAAGCATAATGTTAACGTACAGGAGCATGTATAACTGTGGGAATTCTCTAAGAAAGTGATGGTTATAAAATCCTGAGGGCTTCCCTGGTGGCACAGTGGTTAAGAATCCACCTGCCAATGCAGGGGACACGGGTTCGAGCCCTGGTCCGGGAAGATCCCACATGCCACGGAGCACCTAAGCCCGTGAGCCACAACTACTGAGCCCTTGCACCACAACTACTGAAGCCCGCGTGCCTAGAGCCCGTGCTCCACAAGAGAAGCCACTGCCATGAGAAGCCCGCGCACCACAACAAAGAGTAGACCCTACTCGCCACAGGTAGAGAAAGCCCGCATGCAGCAACAAAGACCCAACGAAGCCAAAAAAAAAAAAAAAAAAAAAATCCTGAAAGATGGGTAGGTGGAAGGTGGCAGAGGTGGGGAGGCAGTGGAGAGGGAGGGAGCTTGATGTGCTCAGGGAGCTGAGCGTAGCTTGCATAGTGGGAGTGAGATGAAGCTGGAGAGTTCACAGGACACTGTTATAATGGGCCTTACAATTTGGATTTCACTTTGAGGCCACTGGGAAGACATTAAAGGATTTTTAAGCAGAAAATCGATACTTTTCAATTGATAAATTGATATTTATAGAAACATCATTTAGGCTGCAGTTTAAAGAGCTGATTGGGGAGAAGAGGGTAACCATGGAGGCAAGGCAGAACGGGCGGGGAGGGAATGCAGTAAGTCACGATTGGACTCAGGTGGTAGTTGAGGGAAATAGGATGTCCTTGGGAGATACTGAGGAGTCCTGATTGAACGAGAAAAGAAATTAGGAATGGTCAAGGCTGTCTCCTAGGAATCTGGCTCCTGCACGGTATGTTTCCATGTCTTTTAATGATGATAGGTAAATCCTGGGCAAGGGAGAAGGTTCATCTTAAATTAGTAGTTCAATTTTGTATATAAAGTTTTCAGTAACTAGGTAATATCTAATTACAGATTAGTTGGAGCTCAAGAGAGCTGTAGGCTAGAGAGAGAGCCTTGGGGTCCTCGACCTGAAGACATAATTAAAAGCAAGGGAATGATAGGTTAAGTGCAGATTGATTTATAATTGTCTTTGGGAGCATTCTCTGTGTGTTTCCCCTTCCCTGATTCTTATGTTTCATTTCCTGAGAACACTGCACTAATTAGCATGAGTTCTGCAGCCCTTAGGGGGCCTTTTCTGTCTCTATACTTTCCCTGTCAACCGGGATGCATGATTAGAATGGCTCGGCAGCCACTTTGCTTTGTATTTCCGGTTACATAGGAATTGTGTATTTGATAGCTTTTTCAATTTCATCTGTACGTTTACTTTTTTCCAGAAGGAGAACTTATGGATTGTGATGGAAAATCAGAATCTAGTCCTGAACGGGAAGCTGTGGATGATGAAACTAAGGGAGTGGAAGGAACAGAGGGTGTCAAAAAGAGAAAAAGGAAACCATACAGACCAGGTATAGTGCCTGAGCTAGAGACATCTTAGTATAATCAAAACTTAGTTAATTTAAGAAAAATATAATATTGAGGGCTTCAAATATAATGAAATAATCAGGATGAAATATAACTTCTTAAGAACTCTCTAAGCTGAAACTTAGAGAGTTTTTTAGGCTGCGCCGTGTGGCCTGCGGATCTCGGTTCCCCGACCAGGGATCGAACCTGGGCCCTGCTGCATTGGGAGCACAGGGTCTTAACCACTGGACTGCTCGGGAAGTCCCCAGAACTTGTAGGCTTTTTTAGGCAGTTATTAATGTCTGTTTACCAGTGAATGAGGTAGTATGTTGAGTCAGTTCAATCTTTATTCTTCTGATTGCTTATATTTTATTGGTAAGAGTGATCTAAGTACCTTCTGATGTGTAAGGAAAAACTTTGTGTTTGTTTTCTGCTAGACCTTAAAAGGTAACCTTCCTTACAGATGAGCCACATTTATAACAAGGGCCTAGATTACCTTCGTCCAAATCACTGTATGAAAATGATTTCATTTCTTCGTAATTATGAGGCTTATAAGTGCACTTACTTTTTTAGACACTGCCAAATTCCTTCCAGGAACTTACAGTTAAATGTTGGGGTTTTTTTGTTTTTTCTTTTTCTGCCTTACATGGAAGTTATCCATGTAAGGGACCCATTTGAGGGGCCCATTAGGTCACAAAGTATATTGCTAGACACCTATCATATGACAGAAGCTGTTAGTGTTACTCTGTGTCAGGCACTATTCTCAGCACTTACATCTGTTTATTTAGTGCTTATCATATGTGTATAGGAGATACTATACATTATCCCTTTTTTTACCAGTGAGGTAACTGAAGCAATGAAAAGTTAAATAACCTGCCCAAAGTCTAGTAGTAACCGGAATCACACAGTTTGACTCTAGATTCCGTGCTTTTACTACAGAGCTCATGTCTAGAACTTTAGGAATAACTAGACACATTACCCCAGAAGTCATGTTGATTTTTGTTTGGATCATCTAGTTTAGTTTGTATCTTGTATCTGTTCTCCCTCAGCTAACATACAAATAATTTGAATGATGATCTATGAGTTACTAACATTAAGGAAACAAGCATAATTTACTATAATGTTTACCCTGACATCGTTTAGGAGAAGAAATACATGCAGTCTTCTGTACTTTAATGAATTTGTATTCCTATTTGGTTAGTAATGAGGTAACAATAACTTTGATCTCTTTTATTTGCTTATTTCCAAACTCTTGTATTTTGCATTAAAATGAGATTATTGATTTAAGTTAACCCATATTGAATTTGGGAAATGCCTCACTGTTTAAGACTAAGCAATTGCACCCTACTTACTGTGGAATTATGGGGAGAAATTAGTAGTTATTTACAAGATTACCTAATTTCTGTTTTGGATAGGTATTGGTGGATTTATGGTACGACAAAGAAGTCGAACTGGGCAAGGAAAAACCAAAAGATCTGTGATCAGAAAAGATTCCTCAGGCTCCATTTCTGAGCAGTTACCTAGCAGAGATGATGGTATGGTACTGATTTTGTTTGATTTTACCCTCTTATCTTGATATCCCCATTGAAAAGAACTATCCTAAATAATGTTACAATGACAACCTTATTGCTTCTTAGTGATGAAAGGATTTGAGTGCCTGTAAAGTTCATATCTGCAATATAGAAATAAGGTTTGATAAAATTATTTAAATCCTATCGATTATATTGCTTTGAGATTACTTAAGAAGGGACTGAGAATATGCAGGACTGAATAAGGCCTGAATCACATAGTTATGTCTGGTACTTTCTGGCCAACTCACAAAAGGCCTTTCTTTGCCTGCATTAGCTACTTGGCATAAAATTGGATACTTTTTAGACTATATAGTTGAAAGTGACAACGTATCCCAATAATTTATAACAAAGTTGTACAGTGTTTTAGAAATATATCTTCCAATTATTAGTCTGTCATTGTTACTTAGAGTTTCAAAGAAAGCTAAATCATTGCTTAAGTCATAGCTTAAGAATTGGTCCTAATGAAGACTTTGCAATCAGTATGGTCATGATCTGTACACTTTCTGTATTTTAAATATTTTATATAGAATCTGAAGAAAAAAGATGTTTTTATCATATTCTTTGAATAGAGTTCTTTTATTACTATGTGATAGGGTTTTGGCCTGTGAATGAATTTCAGAAAAATTGCTGCACATTTTTAAAAGGAAGCACCGTAATAGTTTCAAAGAAGTTTCTAATATGACTTAACATGGCTGTAATAAGCCCCAGTTAAGAAATGTGATATGTTCAATGAAACAATTTTTTTGTTTTCCATCTTTGTCTCTGCTTTGTCTTCTATATAATTTTATTTTTATCATTTAGTTCAGTATTTTTCATTTGTGTCATCCAATGTCATCCACTGAGTTTTTAATTTATTATGCAATTTTCCTTTTCTAAACTGCTTTTTTTGATATTTTAACACTTTGTAGCTTCTTTTTACAGCTTATTCCTCCCAGTTTTAGTTGATTTAGTATATAATATTTCTAAAACCTTTGCATAGCTGATTCTGCTCTGTATCTCCTGGCCCTGTCTCCTAGTGCCTCATTTCGTTGTGTTTATGGTGTGAGATAGATACATATACATTAAACAGCAACAAAATTTTTTTTAAACTGTGAGCTCATATTCTTTAGAACATTCTCTGAACTTCTTGAGGACTGAAGTGAAGATTGGTTACTTCAGAGAATATTTGTTGCCAGGAACATGAGGTGCTATTCCCCTAGGACTCCTTTAAGCTAAATTCTTAGCTTGAAGTTTTTTGGTCCACCTATGTTATATAAATTCAGATTTCTTACATATCAGGGCTGTACTGAGTTTATGAACTCTCAGGGAAGATTTTCATTGTTTTGCCTTTCTACCCAGCACCTTATTCAATGACAAGGTGACACGCAGTTTTCTTTGCTGTCAGGTTGGGGGGCGGTGGTGAGTGATGTGTGGAGGACCAGGGGAACGGGAGGATGTGTTTCTTGTTAAACCAGCCCTGGTGTGGAGTCCTTCAGGGTCCCCCCTTTATACCAGACAGCTTCTGGTTAATCTCTACACCTTGGGAAGAAGCTGTAGGCTTTGTCTTCTATTCCCCATTCCTCATAAGGCTCTGAAAACTGGAGTTCAGGGTCACTAGATTTTAGCAAAATTTCAGAGAGCTTTATTTAATTCTTTGCTTATTTCTGTGGTTCCTATTTTACCTTAATTTTTGGTCTTGGAGAATTCTTTATTTTCTGTTTCGATTACCGCTGTGTTTTTTTTTGTTTTTTTTTTGTTTTTTTTTTTTTGCGGTACGCGGGCCCCTCACTGCTGTGGCCTTTCCCGTTGCGGAGCACAGGCTCCGGACGCGCAGGCTGAGCTGCCATGCCTCACGGGCCCAGCCGCTCCCCGGCCTGTGGGATCTTCCCGGACCGGGGCACGAACTCGCGTCCCCTGCATCGGCAGGGCGGGGGGGGCCCCACGCC